ATAATAATAATAATAATAATAATAATAATAATAATAATAATAATAATAATAGTAAGTTACGTTGCGCTCTCATTGCGCATCACCGTGGATAACTACAAATTAAGAGCATATACCATCCATTAATGAATTATTAATGCTAATTATTAATTTCCTTGGGTCTTACCAGCCTTTTCTAAATAATTTATCATTTTCGTCTCAGACCTTCCTGGTTTTTCCACTCATGGGTGGCCATAATGTCCTTTTTAAAATCGTGGAAACGTGGACCAAACGGCTCCTCTCCTCCGTGCATCAAAAGCCGTGCATGTGATTTGCCTCTCGGGCCGCAATAAAACACTAAAACACGGGGGAAAGAATGACCTTTCTAATTCTGCACACTGACACAAACCTCCGCTGCATTCCAGCCTCTCCAGTCCACACATTGGCTTCGCTGTTCAGCCTTTATTTACCACCTAAACTTTATGGGGCTGCGTGTTTTTCGTGTGCGTGTGAACAACAACAACAAAAAAAGGGGGAAATCCCGTGTTTTGAAATCGCAAATAATTTTAATTCCATTGTAATTCGGCCCAAGCTATTTAAAGTTCTATCAATTTGAACAAGTTTGTTAGAAGGAGTAAATTATAACGTGCCGACTGCGCGGTGACGACAACAGGAATTGTTGTAATGAAACAATAAGCTTTCACAAATCCGATACACGTGCTGGTTCTGACATCGTGAGCATGACAAATGAAAAAAGTAACAACACCAAACACCACATTTATCACATTTCTGCTTTCATTTATATTATAATTCAAATTTAACGGTGCAGTTAAAGTTTTTATATCTACATATTTTTCCAACATTTACTTTTCAGTAACATAATCTCCTCTGAGTGAAATTAAATTACACTGAGGGATGGGAAATAATTTATAGAATTCTGGATTCCCCTCCTGAACAATATGTTTGTTGTACCTCTTAATCAACTGATTCGTTATTTAATATCAAAGAGAAGAGGAAAGAAACAGTCCCAAGGCGGCAATATTGGGACTTTACAGGCTCCAACTTTTGCGCTTTATTTGCCCCAAATCTGCGCGACGCGGATGTCACATATGGCCACGAAGGGGAAACTTTTATAGCACCAGCTACTTCCTTCTCTTTGTTCTTGTCTCTTTTATGGTCCATTCAGGATCCCAAACAACAGACCAAACAGTGTTGCACGTTTAGGCTGCACGTATTCACTCTATTGAAGAAATCAATGCGGTGGCGAACCAATAGGCTGCTGCAGCGCAGAGCGACTGCGTTTCAACAGACATGTTCAATAGCTTCATTGATTATTATATTGGTATCTATTATGGTTTGTTGCAAAACGAGCCAAGATAATGTGAAATATAGCTCCAAGTGCATGCATATAGTTTACAAATTCCGTTCAGCTGTAAAAACGTTTTTTTTTTAGGATAAAAGGCTGCAAGAATAAAATGCGTCAAGCTTTTAAAAAGTGATTTAATTATATTGAAGACAGAAAACTGAGACTGGGAGGGACGCTGTCTTTTATAATATAACAAATGCTACATTTAGAGGCAGCACGTTTCGCTCAGAAAGGAATTTAAGTTTTGCTAGATTTGCGCAAAAAAACACCTCCAAAGTAAGTAATATCCAAACCCATCATTTGCTGCTGAGATAATTATCGGTTCTCGTTTCCTCTGTGTGTGTCAGAGGAATGTCGAAGTATGATCAGAAAAAAAAAAAGAAAAAAGAAAACGCAAGAAAGGCAGGAACATCTGCATAAGCATTTTAACACGCTGCATTTGTACTATTCCGGAAAAAAATGATCACCTGAAGTGTGCAGTTCATTGTTCTATGAGTTAATAGACTGTACCTGCGCCGCGCACCGGGCACTGTTGGCCTGTGGAGGAATTTGTATTGTTTTTCTGTGGCTGGACAGTCGCACAACTGATTAGATTTTTCAAGATGGTGGCAAAAGTCATCCTCTCAGACGCAGTTTTTAAAAAGCTATAATTGGCCGTACCTTTACGCGATCTCTCCCCCCCCCTCCTCCTCTTTTTATTTTTCTGCTTCGCCCTCCACATGCTGATCAGTGCTTTCATTTGGGAGCCTGGAAGATTTGCTCGCCTGTGTTGCGAGGCTTTGCTGCAGAGATAGTTGTTGGTGAGCTGGGGAACGTCACTTGTTTTATTGCCCTCACAGAAGAGAGACCATAAACGCATTCTTACCACCTACACCCTCCCCCAGTTCGCTGCAAAAGCATGGAAATTGCTCACATGCCCTGATAATTCAAAGGGAACCTTATTAAGGGATAATTAGGAAACGGGGAGTGAGATAAACAAATAAATGCCAATATATTTGAGTCCTCATTCAAAAGAAGCGGATGGGAGCTTGTAGTTGTTGCAGCTTATATGTCTGCAGTGCTGTTGTGAAATAAAAACTGAGTACAGGACACACACACACACCACACACACACACACACACACACCACACACACACACAGTTACTTCAGTGGAGGTTTTTGCATTCTGTCTGCGTACATTGATTATATATTTCAGAGTTTCTCTCTTTTAAGACACATTTGGACCTGATTCCACGTGTTTTTAATCCAATTTCATCCTCCCCTTGAATGTGATCACTGTATACTGAATGACATTGGCCACATCCTGCATCGTGCTTTTCTCCTCAAACGCCACATGCTCTTTAAAAGTCGAGCCAAAAAAAAAAAAGGCAAAAAAAAAAAACTTCTCTTCCAGCCAAGCTGCGTATATAGTGTGCCACTCCAAGTCTACGTTGTGTTTATCGGCATTTAGCACTAATGTTCAAGCTCTGAGCTAAAAGCTACAGTTTCTCCTCAACTCCTGCCTCTCAATTGGTGGAGAACGGTCAGCTGACGTTGTCATATTGTCTCTCACCGAGCCAAGCCTCGGCTATAACACTCGGGTTTGTGCGTCTTAACCGGAGATTGGAAATTAATAATATTGAATCCTCAAAGTAGCCCACGGTCCAGTAAGAGAGGCAGAAAAGTCGAGGGAAAAAAAGAAGACCTTGGAGAAAGGTGTGGTTGGTTGACAGACACACACACACGGGAAGGAGATTTACTGAGAAGGAGATTGAAAAGAGACTCGATAAAGAAGTGGGGAGAGTTGGAGAGAGGGTTACCAGCAAGGTATGAATTCTTATTTCGCAAACCCGTCGCTCTCCTGCCATTTATCCGGTGGTCAAGATGTTTTGCCTAACGTGCCCCTAAACTCCACCACCTATGACACAGTGAGACATTTTTCGTCGTACGGTGCAGCTGTGACCCAGAATCGGATATACGCACCTTTCTACTCCCCTCAAGATAATGTCGTTTTTGGCTCTGGCAGGGCACAGTATGAATATGGATCAAACGTATTTCTTCAAGACAAAGACGTGCTGCCCAGCTGCAGGCAAACAAACATGGGACTCAATACACAAAGCCACATTGCTCAAGAGTACAGTCTGGATCAAGGAAGAGCAGGAGCTCAGGACCAGAAAAGTAACATCCCGATCTACCCGTGGATGCAGCGAATGAACTCACACAGCGGTGAGTTTTACTACGACAAATAAATTAAGGAAATGGGCCAGTTTTACGATATGTCTTACCAAGAGAGTAAGTTACTTTTTATGGCCCCCATAAAACATTACTGTATCCCCTCGACTTGTAGATGGGCCTTTACATGTGCAAACAAACAGCTTTCATTTTAAGAATGATTTAGGAGTCATAATCAGCAGCGTTCAGACACAAGCTGCATTAAGACGTTTTCACAGTTTTAGATGATAAAGCGAAAGCTGACCCTTAAGAGAGGATTTGTATTGTGGATAAAATGTGTTTATTTTACTTTGTTGGTTCAGATTACAATTAAGATTTTTAACAATGAAGCCAAACTTATGCTAAACCGCCTCTAAGCAGAATCGCAGGCAGAGACATGATTCCTTTTCTCTTTTATGTTTGCTATCGCTTTGTACACACGAGCAAATTAGTGACTTTACTTTGTATCCCAGCAGGAGTCGGCTACGGGACAGACAGGCGCAGAGGACGTCAGATATACTCTCGTTACCAAACGCTTGAGCTGGAGAAGGAATTTCATTTCAACCGCTACCTGACCAGGCGCAGACGCATCGAAATCGCCAACGCGCTTTGTTTAACGGAGCGCCAGATCAAAATCTGGTTTCAGAACCGACGCATGAAATGGAAGAAAGAGAGCAACCTGACCTCCACGGTGACTGGAAGTGAACAGACAGGATCCTCTCAGGAGGAGGAACGCAATGGCGCAATTGAAGAAGGGAAGGATGAGGACAAGAAGAAAGAATAAAGAAGAACAAAATGAAAATAAAAAACAAAAAAACACACCTTGATGACCATTAAGACCCAACATAACTACCTAAAAATCTATATGGACTTGAGAGCGACTTCACTGCATGATGCTACCCCGCAGCTCTCCCACTTTTATCTCATGTTGAGGAGTGTTGAGCCTTAGAAATCCAAATTATTTCAACCACAGTATAACCCCCCCTTTGTGACATTTGGGGCATTGAGTTGTTTTTTTTTATTATTAATAATATTATTGCGATGTCACACTTGTATTGTGAAAATAAAAAGAAGTATTAATTTCTACGTTATTTCCTATACCAGGAATATGTGTGTATTTACCCCCCACACCCCATCCGTCACTGTGAACTCTTTGATCAACCCACTAAATACAGTGTTGGTCTGACTTTTACTCATTATTGTACATGCACATTCCCCGGGAGGAAAAAAGGGACCCGGCCGGACACTTGATCACAGTAATAATCTACTACTTGAATCGTCCGCAGAAGAAGAAGAAGAAAAAAAGTGCCCTGCATTAACCTTAAAAGTTGCACGGAGAGTCTCCAGTCCACACACACACAAAACACAACTGAAATGCCTGTATATAATGAAAGTAACAGTATAAAATGTAAATCCAGTGAACACTTATGTGCATTTAGCCGCTTTGATAGACGCTGCAAAACATACAATTGCGCTTAGCCTCCCCCCCTCCTTCTTCCTTGTTTTTATTTTTATTTTGGATCACAATAGGCTTCCTTGTGAGATAGATTTGTACACTAGTAATTCTTCACTTTTGTTTGAGAGTTACAAAGTCATGTTTTTGTCATAATTGTGTATCATGGAATAAAATATTTGTAAAACTTTCACCTTCGTCTTGTGTGTTTTTGGGAACAGCCACTGCGTAAAAGCAACTTTTCTGAATTACGCACCAAAACCAGTAGGCTACGTGAGAGTGGAAGTTACTTTTTGATGTTATAATGACCTTTTTGGTCAGAATACTGCAAAAGCAAGTGGGGCACACATGTTCATTGACATTGCTAATTGGAAGGGGGTTTGAACTCTTTAATATGAGGTTTTTGACCTCCTGGTTGGGATTTTTTGGTGTACGGGAATGAGATGTAGTCCAGTATCCAATTAAACACCATAACATCCCCGTATGGATGGCGTTATCATGACACAAACTCCTCGCGACGTACAAGTTCTGTGCGTAAAGATATTTTAGCCAAGCGAGCGTTGGAAATTCCCATTATTCTAATTATTATTGTTATTATAATAATTATTATCATTATTAGTATTATTATTATTGACTGGTGGCGGACTCAGTGCGCGTCAGGGGGCAGAGAGCTCTGGCCGGTCCTGACCGTCCTGCCCCATACCAGACACCAGATGACGCTCTTGTCTTACTGTCCTGCCCTTTTTTTGCGCTAAAAGATCCTTGCCTGGTCCTCGACAACCAACAGCTCAAAGTTTACCGGACACGTTTCTCCTATTCATCAATATCCCCATTGAGTATCAAAGCCAATTTATGACTGGCCAACACGTGCACGTGATCCCACACAAATACCCCATATTTGGGCAGCGCACGTCGGATCAAGAATTAAAAAAAGATACCAAAGCGCACTCCACCTATAAATTCTGGATTATTTTTTTTTAGTGCAGGCAGCTCTGAATTTTCCAAAAGCGGCAACAAAGAAAAGCAATGATCAACAAAAACAAGGAAACAACCGCCACATACATCCCGCAGAGCCCTGTCTAGTTTAAAGTGTCCGTGGTAGTTTGAAAATGAGCTCGTATGTTGACATCTCCAGTCTCAGGCAAACAAGCGAGACAACTTCTCCTAACACTATGTTTAGTTTCGATCTCTCTGGGCGCAGGTCCAGCCGCTATGAGGGTGTTAATGTGAACGGGATATTCTCTTGTCCCGTCCCCACGACCTCTGTTGAACGGGAGGAGATGAAAACTAGCCTGCGTGGCAACACGGATACTCCTCTCCCGTCAGGACCACAGATAACCATGGTCTCCAGTAGCTCGTCTGTGGACGCAAGCGGGCTCAACTACGGCAGCAGCAAGCTGCTGGGACGAGGGGCGGACAGAGACCCGGAGAGGAGCGCAAAATCCGGCGGCAACAAGAGCCAGGAGAGCGATAGAAACGCGGATAACGCGCAATCGGTGAAACGAAACACAAACGTGAGCCAGCGTCAGGACAGTGAGCAGCGGCCACAGATTTATCCATGGATGACAAAACTGCACATGAGCCACGGTAAAGTTTGCCTATTTTCTAAAGTGCGACTAAGATGCTTTCCCTTATTCACTCTTAACGCTGCAACACTTCTTTTCGCCCGTTTCAGTGTCCCTCTTGAGTTTTATAGGCCAAACGCAGGAAATAATAAAAACTCGCGGTCATAAATTTTATGACAAAGGCATCCATTGCTCGTAAACCTGCTCTGTTACGGTGAAGAGGTGATCTGTGGTGTGATTTATGGTGGTATAATTGGATAAGAGAACAAAACTGTGATAAAAACTATGAAATAATATTACAAATTCAACTCTTAAGCCGTACTTCTTTGCCTTGCTTCGTTTATAGTCTTAGTCGAGCCAGGCTCCATGTTTTACACCATCAGACTCAGTAGAGAGAGAAGCTTTAGCCTTAAATTGAACTCTGGGAAACACCAATGCCCTGACCCAATCATGAACTTTTCACCTCTAAAAGATTTGAATAGGCATGCTCTTTCTTCGTGCCTTCGAACCACTGCTGCAGCATTTAGGCTGCAACATGGACAGTGAGCACATTTGCTGCAAAACAACAAAAAAAAAGTAGCTGCTCTTGTTTGGTGTTGCTCCATATGCAAATATCCAGCAGCACACAGCAGGGATGTCGAAATCATTTAAATCCAACTGCACGGGCCTGTTGCTTTACTTAGCACGCCTGGTTAATGCGTAAATATATCTGGAAAGCATCACTACTTTTCTAATCTTTGGATTTTACATATCTGTTTATTCTCCCACCACATTTCTCCCCCCTGTGCAGCGCTATTAGGCCGAGGCCAGTGTTTAGAGGGAGGCCCACATATTATTAGTTATCACGTTTTACATATTACAATAAGATTTATGAAGCAATCATTTAGTATTTTTTTTATGTTTTGGATGTGAAAGAATAAGAGGGCCCTCTCTCCTTTTTACACTGATATTTATAGGATCTAGTTAACCATCCTTATCAGCATGAGAGAAATTTTTATTGCACAAATCCACTGTAAGTAATATCAGGTTAAATTAGGTTATATAAAGATATTTGATCTTTTAAATGAAGGTGGAAAGGGACATAAATTAACAGATTTTTTTTTCCTGCTTCCAATGCTTATTTTATGGATACCTCTAGTTTATTTAATGCAATTTAATCAGTCGCCTTCTTATTTCTATTTATTTACCACTACTATGCTGCTGAAAGCTAACTGATTTTAATACCACTTTAGAATCGGAGGGTAAGCGCTCCAGGACCAGTTACACCCGCTACCAGACTCTGGAGCTGGAGAAAGAGTTTCACTTCAACCGGTACCTGAGCCGCCGCAGGCGCATAGAGATCGCCCACACTCTGTGTCTAAACGAGAGGCAGATCAAAATCTGGTTCCAGAACAGACGAATGAAGTGGAAGAAGGACTCAAAGATCAAAGTGAAGGAGTAGAAGGTGCACCGGTGAAACGGGGTGCATGCAGCACGTTTTCAGCCCCACACTGCACAGTGCTGGAGTGCCGCCTGACCTTCGGATGAACTGCTAGGAGCAATGACATCATGACACCGCTCTGTGTGCTTCATCACCAATTATGTGTCACTTGCTGCAGTTTGGGACCTAATGTATTGAATATCACTCACTTTGATCAATCGGTTTACATTTTTAAATTAATTTGCTGCCCATGCGATGATAACCTCACTTTGCTGCACGAAGGGAACAAGAGGTTGAGGGGGAGCTGGGTCCTTCACGCTGCGAGGCTTTGGTCTGCAGTGCACTGAAGAAAAAAAAAAAAAGCTGCACAATACACCAATAATCTATGTTCTTAATTAGGATAGTGGCAGCTGGGCATAGCCTGCATCATTCCCAGCTCTATATCATCATGTAATAAAACTTTAAGGTCAGTGAATCAAATAAAAGGCAAAAAAATAATCATTCTGACTGCAAATAGTTCTCCACCAGTTACTTCTCATCCTCTTTTGTTTTTCTTCTCAAAACTCTCTCCAATGTGTTGCAGTTAGGATGTTGTTGAATGTGTGATGTGTCCAGTGAGAAATGTCTTTGTGAGTGGATTTCATCCATGTTGTCTGTCATAATCTGTGAATCTAAATCATGATGTATACTTCAGTGACTGTATGTGAAAATATTGTAATGTGCAATGGAGCTATTTCTCTTCCCCTTTGTAAACTAAAGGTGCCTGGTTAACACAAGGCCTAGAATAACTGATAGATGGCCTGTTTTGTTGATTGTAACCAATAAAGTCTCATTAACAGTGAGGAGATTTCCTGTCACTATGCACATTTTATTTTATTTTATCTTTGCCCCCTTTTTATCAGTGGTTAGTGGATTAATCCAGCTGATTTATTTTTAGTGCTACAAGCCTATTGAATTAAACTGTTTATAGCGTGCACGTTTTTTTCTTTTTTTCTTTTTTTTCTAAGAATACAGTTTATTTTGCTTTTCTTAGCTGCTCTCGCTTCTGTAGTTTGGCTCGGCATCCACGGCATTTCATTGACTGACAAACGCGCTCTGAAGTTTAAGGCCCTCATAAAACTTTATTGCCCCTTTTCCACCACTCCACCACAGGCGCACTCCGTTTCCTGTTTTGTCAGGGAAGGAAGGGACACACTGGGCTGTGATAACACTCGCCTACAACACAACATGGATGCAAAACTTTGGGTTTCCTGTGGCCGCAGACTCACGCGTCATGGCTGCTGTGGCCATATGGCCACTTTATGATATCGCGTTGCTCTTTAAACCTGGCATCATTACGCAGCAGTTAAAACAACACTATCTGCCAGTAGAAAGGACATAAAACCATGCCAGTTTGCCGGGCATCTGTATTCGGCTGCACAGCTTTAGCACAAGTAGCAGTATGACGCTGGTGTAGCCCAAGGTTATGAGGTAATTCCTCTCTAGCACTACTTAAAGAAAATAAAAATCAACTCACCTCTCAAACTAATAGCTTCCTATTGAACTTCCTTGACGGTTATGTGAACCGGTCAGCGCAGCGTCCACTTTCTCTGCGCTCTGTTAGGCCTAACCTATGCGTGGACAATGTATTCAATCCCTTTTTGTATGTCTTTCTTTTAGGGTATTTTAAAGTTTACAAGGTTACATATGCCAATTGCCCCAAGCAGGGCCTGTGAATGGTGCATAGGAAGCACGTGGTGTCATTTAAGTGGGTTTTATGGCCTGGAAGAGCTGACAAACCTTCGATATATACACATCATATATAATCTTAACTGTCCGGAATCGCAGCTGCTGGCTTCCCCTTATCGGAGGAAGAAAGGGCTTTGTGGCAGTGAGGATGCAGTACCTTTCTCCGGACTGTGTAGTCGGGTGGTGCGGAGGACTGAGAGCTGCTGCAGTAAGTTGCTTTTAACTTTGACTACAGGCCTGCGTCTGTGCCGTTATTTCATAGCGAAGAAAATATCATTTTTGTTCTGTGTTAGTGTGACTTTAAAATGCGCGGCTGTTTAAACCGATTAACCCTCCAAAAAATGAACGCTGTTAATTGATAGTGAATATTTATGAATGTTTTTGAAGCAGTGTGTGTAATGCTTATTTAAAAAAAACAAAACAGATATTTGGTGTTGCTTATGTGGTTTGCCTGAAGCGGAATCATGCATGTCCATAAAGGGGAATTTGTGGTCATGATGCAATTTTTTTTCTTTTACGCAAAGTCATCCTTCTGTTTGTGCTATTTTTTTTTTATTAAACTTTTTAAATAAAAGGGAAATAGGATATTTAATTCAGTGCAACAGATTTGAGCCACAGCAGCAGCAGCAGCTCGTCTCATTCAACAGTTTGCTTTGCATGTTTGTGCTGTGAGCAGGAGGAAAGAAAATATTTGAAGTAAAGGTGACTGAGGAAAATGAAAAGTCAGCCAAAACTATCTAAAAAATCATCTGGCGTCCAGCCTCACCATCCACCCCACCCTCTCTCTAACACACACACACACACACACACAGACACACACACACACACTGGGATTCTCTTTCTTATACGTAATTTTTGGAGAAAATTATTTTTGTCTAATTCTAACTAAATTCTGTGCAGTGGCGCAAATTCAAGAACGTGTATTTTTTTTTATTTTTTTTGCAGCTATGTGTTGAAAATACGGCGTGACTTGTGCTCTGTTGGCGCTAAATTGTTGTTGTGTTGCTTAAAATATTGCACTCATCCATAAAAAAAGAGGCAAACAATTAGGAAAGCACCTGATTAAAATGCTTCATCTCGCTGTTTCACCTTGACTGCGAGGTTTGTGCTCATGAGCTGTGGCTGCTGTTGTTATGGGGTCATGTCTGGGCCAAGGAGCAGCTTTGATTCAAAGGCACTTTTGCAATGCAGTTGTGGCATCATCCAAACACACTCACACTCACACACACACACATTGAAGTGGAGGATATGTTGGACTACAAAGGGACATTTCTCGCACAGTATTTAAAAGTGTGTTTATTACGCACAGGCTTGTCCTCGTTACAGATATTACTGAATTGATCGGTTTGGAGACTGATGATGTGATCTTATAAGCTCGATAGTTTTCTGTTGCTCTGTAGGGCTCATCATTTAAATTGACCACACGCCTTAGAAAGCAGCTTAACCTAGAAACGCTGCTCTTTTTCTTAATCAATGTGCGGATTTGCAAATGGCTAATTCTGATATTAGGTCGTGTTTGGAGTCGTCTTTACAGCTGTGTGTGTTAATGTTGGTGTTGACTCAGAATGTGGTTAAAAAAAAATAAGGCAGACAGGGAAATTTTTTTATTCAGCTCTCATCAGAAGCTTCTCCAGACTTCAGTGCGTAAATCCGCTAAAATCTGAACACCGACTGGCTCGCTTCAGTCTTGTTTGTATTTTCTGACATTTAACCAGGGTGCACTTTTTATTTTTTTAAATAATGGTTGCAGGTTTGTTTTCAGGTGTGCAGGATAAATGATGCACTTTCAATAGGGGGCACTGTGTAACACGCTCCTGTGTGGGTGATTCACTGTGGGGGCAACGTGTCCAAACCAGGGCATCTGTTCGTGCACCTTTATACCCAGCGTTGGACTTTATTTTTCCAAGCTTTATTTATTTATTTATTTTTTAAGCTGTTGCTTTGCTGTGTTAAATGATGACAGAGAGAGAAAATGATGGTCAACTCCCAGACTAAAATAAAACAAAATAAAAAGATTTATTTTCCTCCAGAAAAAAATAGAAACGAATAATTTCTCTTTTTTGATTAATTAGAAACAAAATTGGATGCGTATTTTAACGTCTTCATAGAACTTGCGAGGCTGTTCTTCTAATCGAAATTAAAATATTCTCACAATTTTTCAGCTGTGGGGATATTCTATTGTTATCAGAGCTTCATAACCTTATTTAAATGAAGACACTCGTGCGTGAAGAGGTCTACTAGCACTGCATTAAAAGTGAAACTGTCTAAACATCCGATGTCAGTGCCATGTTCTGAGCTGTTGTGTTCCTTTCTCTGACCTGTGGAGCTGACACTGCCATCATTCAACCCGCAGAGGTCATATCCGGGTGAGCACAGACTTCCCTTTGTCTGAGCCCAAATAAGAACCATAAAGTCCCATTACATCGTTTTTTTTTTTAACACAGTAAGAATTTATTTATAATATGAAGGTAAACTCGTGATTTTTTTTTTTATTGACTGTTCGTAATAATTCAGCGTCTCTGCAGTCCAGGGATTTCTATTCTTAGGACATTCGCCCAAGGAAATACCAAAAAATGCGTGTAAATTTAGTTTTACTGTCTCAAAATGACCCGTCCTAAATATCCGTCCTCGGTCCCAGTTCTGCAGGAGCAGCACACATGTCAAAGCCTTTTTTCTAGGACAGGCTCCCTTCAACAGATAACAGAGGATTTCAGAGGCGAAGGGACAGACTGACGGATTATTAGGAGGAAATAATACGCGACATATCAAAATGTTTCCTCTCTGAATTGGAACAGCGAGAGATTAACTGTAGGAAGCTTGAAGAAAATGTTTGGAATAAAATCAATAGTAATATTTTTAGACTGCGTGGAGGCTCTTTTAAATTGAGCACAAACGAAATATTGTCCATACTTATTCATTTCAGCCTTACTGCGCCTCATATATGCCATTTTACAAACTGGTCAATTAATTTAGGGAATGTTGGATAAATTATCGATCTAATACATGTTTTTTTTTAAAATAAATATCAATTTGTATTTTTCTTTTTCAATAAATAATTTTGAATACAAAAAAATAACTCAAATGATTTTATTTTTTATTTTTGGTAATATTCTTAAACTAATTTTCGTTTTTTTTTTTCTTTCTATTTTTCAGACAGTTCATCGGGTCAAAATGAGTGCCACCGTGGATTTCTCAGTAAGTGTTGCGCTTCTCCTCACGCCTCTATCCACCTGACTTTAGTCAGGAGTGAACCTTCATGGTGGAGCTTGTTATTTGGCTGCAGGCAAACAGCTGGTTCTGCTGACATCAAGGCTCCTGGTGTGTGTACCCTAAATGAACTTGTTTGGTGATTCTTATACTGTTTTCTTTTCCTTTTTTTGTTTCAAGTTCAAACATTAGATTCTTAAAAAACGAAACTCGAATTACTACTAAAAATGTTCTTGGGTCTAGTTAATAACCAGTAAAAGCATCACTTTCAATACCCAGGTTAGCTGGATTTAGCACTGCACAGTGACTCTAATGAACCGCAGCGTTGCTGTAAAACCAACCAGTGGTTTATGTGAGGAATCCAGTTACTGAAACCACCTCTGCTCCCCTGGCTGCTGCTGCTTTTAAAGAGTATTCATATCCAACTAGTCTCCAGTCTGTCTGCACTTCATTAAAACTTTTTATTTTAACTGGACCATCCAGCTTAACGTTATTGCACCTGGGGAGAGTAAACGTGCAAAGGCTATTAGGTTAAGGGTTTGATTAAAAGCGCATCGTAACCATTTTCATCAGGGAGCAGAATATTGCCGCACTGTCCAGCCTGGTATCATCTTAATAACATTATCATTACGCTTTTTTTTGTTGCCCTCCCTGTGTCCATTTTGCGTGTTATTTTAACTCAGCACAATGACACGCAAAAAAGCCCAAGACACGCTAAATATGCCCGAAGTGGCTGTGCCATTTACGCGCAATCTCACGGTACTGGTACATCAAATTAAAAAACAACCACGCATGGACAGAGCAGCCTCCACATAGTTTTGCACAGATTTATTCTGTTTACATATGTACATGTGTGAACACGCTTGTACAGCTGTTATTTTGCAAGGGGGCAAAGGGAAGCTTAACAATTCCTCAAATGAACAAATGAAACATCAAATTAGTCCGCCTGAGGGCCTCATTTTTTGTACTTCTACATTATAACTAGTTATTGAACTAGGTGCACGATCTGAAAGCCATTTGTGGGGAGAAGGAATTCATTGCTGTCTCTCCATCAATAATCCTTGGCAGTGAACTATTGGAACCAGTCAAACGCGAGGGGTGAAACGCGGGTCAGGCTGTCTAACTAATATTAAAATGCGTCCACCAGAGCGCATGGGGCGAGAGGGAGTATGTGGTGTGCGTGCTGCTCTTTCACACTGGTTAGGCGCACAACAAACAGCATGTATTTAGATGAGCATATGACAAAGGCAAATGAACACGAGGTAGATTCTTCTTATTTTTTGTGGTTTCTTCTACAGTTCACTCGGATGTTCTGTTATCCAATAAAAAGAAAAAAAATCTATTAAATTGATGCCCAGAGTGCATGCAGAGAAATATGTAGATGAAGATGTTTTTTGACAGTGTTTGAAGTCCCCTGTGCATCTGCACTGTAATCAATTCCATTGATTCACAATCTGAGCATGTTTGCTCTTTTTAATAACCCCGAAACAGGTCACATGTCTGATATTGCATTTTTCATCCGAGGCTTTTCTCATTAGCTTCCAGAGTGGCAGGAAGAAAGGTTACCGAGCGGTCAGTATGGTAATAGCAAGCAGAAGAAATGGTTGGGAACAATAGAAACTTATTTTTCATCTGTGCTGTCACGCCGTCCCTTTGTATCCGCCGTGTTTGTGACTGAATATTCATATAAGGAGGTACCTCAAAGGCAGAGGTTGAATGTGGAGAAAGAGACCCTCTGTCCTCTGCACACGACGCTGTTTTGTGTGTGTGTGTCTGTGTGTGCAGGTTTAGACTATGTGTGTGTGTGTGCACGGATATATATATTTGAAGTGTTATTTTCTGCCGTTTGTAAATGTATAAATAGCAGAGAACTGGTTTGTGTTCGCGGCTTCCTGACGCTGGATAAACAGCGATCCGTTTTTTACGCACGCTTCTCTTTGCAGCCTCAATCTCTGTTGTGCTCTCAAATGCATGCCAGCCCGATTTCAGACACGATGGCCCCGCTTTGCACAGATACTTGCCTGACAGATCACCTTCGCAGAGTCTAACCTAAAACACATTAGTTGTCTATATGTACCCTGTAGAACCGAATTTGTGTGAAGTACAAACAATCGCAAATACGTCTCTACAGGAATACATGGGCAACTGAAATACCACGCCTGCCAATGGATTATTCTGCATCTGCTCCTCTTCACGTCTCTCTGGCCTTTCTTTTTTTTTTTTTTTGGATCTCTCATCTTCTTCTTCTTCTTCCTGCTTTTGCATATACAAGCATCAGTGATGATACATACAGCCTCCATCCAGGCACTAGCAATTGCAATAACACTGTCACAAAGTGTATTCATAGTCCAGACAGCCATAGATTGTGTAGGCCACAGAGAGTAAACCCATGTGTGCAGTGTGTGCGGCTACTACTGTGTCAGACCCTGTAAAACACGTTAGGAACCAGGGGTCGTTTAAAAGTGACTGATTTACGGCTTTTATTGCTCTATAAAACGCCTCTAACATCCTCGCTAGGGGTAATAGAAATGTCGTGCGCATTCTTTACAAACAGTGCAGCCAGAAATATGATATGCAATTTCATGTCGTTTTTAAGCATATTATGTAATTATTGCTGTGAAAATAGATCCCTTAACTTACATTGTGCTGCTGCTGACCAGGATGCCGCCTTGTGTGCTGCACGGTTTTCTTGGAGGAGCAGCCAATGGAGCGTTTTATTTTATTAGAATTTATATTTTTCTAATTACCCTGCAATTAAACACATAAGAATGAAAGGAGAGGGGTAAAAAAATCTACTGTGGATGCTGCTGCTAATCTATGAGGGAGTTATCTTCTCTCTCTCTTTGCTTACAGCTTACTCTGAGATAACAGGACATGACAAGTTTATACAGCCAGGCAGTATCAGTTTACAATATAACAGCAGACCACCAGCAACATGGCTCATGGTTCACTTAGGATCAGTGTGTAACATGTGGAGGCTAGATTTCCAAGTGGCAGCTGGACTCAACTGTTATTTAAATCCTTTACATTTTTTTGTGTTTATATAGTTTGGATATGTGGGATTATATTTTAAAGCCTGGCTATCAAGGGTGCTGTGCTTGCATCCAAATATTTCAAATTTATTTCTGTTTGTTTTTCCTCATTTCAGAGTCTTCCTCAGTGTTTTCTTTCATAAAAGTAGGACTGTAGCTGCTTTGTGATGTCTCATCTGCCTGTCAGGTGCTCTTAATTCACTTTCTGTCCTTGTGCTTTCATTTTTAGCAGAGGCAAAGCTGGCAACATGTGTAACAGATAAGGGTTTTTTTCGGTGCTGTAAAGTCATGGTCACAAGGAAAAAACTGGCTAAAAGCGGTATTGTCTTTCAAAGCACAAAAAGCTTAAAAGATCATGGGTTTAATTTCTGTTCACGAGCATCTTTAAGGGCTTTCTTGCAAGTAGGAGGGATGCACAGTGATGTGGGGATGTTCAGCCGCTCCTGAATGCAACTTTGTGGTCTGCAACAATCAAATGACTTTGCTGTGACACAACACCAGTCCTCTGCAGATCCAGACTTTCTGATATTCTCTGTTCTGTGGCATCATAACGATCTGGTTTCAGTGCTAACTGGTTTGTGGTTTCACGATGATGCTGCTCTGCAAAGTTGCATCCCAGTAATGCTCTTCTGTGACATGACACTAGTAGTATAATGTCAGTGTGGCCTGTTGGATGCTTGGCTGCTGTTTGGTTTGTGTCAGTGCTGCACCTGTGTTGACATTTTGTGGGCAGCCTCACAATGAAGCTAGATTTTATGCAAAGAAGGTATTTGTTAGATAATAGTTGTGTCTTTTAAAAGTCGAGGTTAAAGGTTAAATGCATTTGAGCTTGTCTGATTTCCATTTTTGTGCCATTGAATAGGAGCAGCATGATTTTACTTCTTATATCCTGTTCTTTTTTTATTATTATTATTGCTATCATTGTTATTGTAGAGCAACTTTTGCTCCAGCAGATTTTTTGCAACTGTGACATTCAAAGAATCCATATCTAAACCAGCCTCATTTTTAATCTTATCCTCACCGATTTTCAATTAAAAGCTGAATGCTGAGTCTTTTAATAAATAGCCTGAAAAATAATCTCATCATTAGATACTATCAGGTCTATTTCCAAAAACTCAGCCACACCTCCAGAGTCCCTCACCTCCCCAGTGCTCTCTGACATTTCTTAGAGTCACAACCTCCTATAAATATTAGTGCTGAAATGGTTTTTTAAAGGAATAACCACTTTGCAAAAGGCAGCTCTAATTCTTGGACAGTGGAGTGTTTCCCAGCTGAAGGTGCTGTTTCATTAATTAGCAGATAACCTTTATATAACTAACAAAATGATTGGTTTGCTATTGTTGTGCCTTATCCTTGGCAAACCACCTATTGTCCCTTTGAATAATTGAGACCGGTGTATTTTGCCTGTTTTATTTTTTCCTTGGTCAGCAACTAGCTACTAGTTTTGTCCCCAAGATCAATTGCCTTGGTAACACAACCAGAGAGAGAGGGAGGAGGGGGGGAGGACAGGGGGGAGAGAGAGAGAGAGAGAGAGAGAGAGAGAGAGAGAGAAAGAGAGAGAGAGAGAGATTTGTGCCCACAATGGCGACTGTAGGTATGCTAAATACCTCTGGTTCCTTATCCGGGAACTACCTCTTACTCTGCTATTGGGCCACTGGGTCACGTGGTAAAAGTAACTTTACAGGGCTGCTCGCAAGTAGGAGGGCTTTATGGAGCAGAAAAACGACAAAGCTAGAAAAATTATTTTCCACTCCAGAAATTAATGATCATGAGCTCGTATTTGATGGAGTCTAACTACATTGATCCGAAATTTCCTCCATGCGAGGAATATTCGCAAAATAACTACATCCCTGAGCATAGTCCAGAATATTACAGCCGCGCAAGGGACTCTGGCTACCAGCATCACCACCAGGAGTTATATCCTCCGCGGGCGAGCTACCAAGAGCGCCAGTATAACTGTGCAAGCATCCCCGAACCTGACACGCCAAGGGGACATGGAATACCCCATTCTGCGCACCTACTGACAGGGAAAGGGCAGCCTGCTTCATGTGAAACCCCACAGTTGTCCATGTCCCCCGCCACCCCACCGGCCGCAACCTCCGCCTGCAACCAAGCTACCCCGGAGCATCCAAACAGCACAGCCTCCTCCAAACAGCCTGTGGTGTACCCATGGATGAAGAAAATTCACGTCAGCACTGGTAGGCAACTTGTGTGTTTATGTTCCCTGCACTCCTCATGCTCCTCTCTCCCCTTTTTTCCCTCCCTTTATCAGTCCCTCTGACTCCCATCTCGTTGCCAGCCCCTGCTCCGATAGCAGGGAAGCCTTTGAAATGGCACAATTGAGGCGGATTTACGACTCGGCATTGGTAATTACACCCACCATAAATTTTATAGCCGAGGTATACTCAGGGCAGCCGTATCACCATGTGGCTTCTGCTGTTATGTATTGCGCGATAGAGAGAGGGGGAGAAATGAATAAGAAGAAGAAGGGGGAAAAAAAACTGAGCTTTGTAATCTTGCATTAATAATTTAGCTCATAGTTGGATGTGAGTGTCCTCTCATTACGCTGAGAAGTTCTTAACTTCCCATTTAAATTTCTCAAACAGCTAAACATTCATATCCAATAAATCTTTCCAGCCATATCTCAGTTGAGGCCATTCTTGTTTACCCCTCCTTTCCTCCCTTCTCTGTCTCCCCTTTCTCTCTCCACTTCTCCTTTTTCCAGTGAACTCTGGTTACAATGGGACGGAGCCCAAGCGGTCTAGGACAGCATACACCCGGCAGCAAGTCTTAGAATTGGAGAAGGAATTCCACTATAACCGATATTTAACACGGCGGAGGCGCATCGAGATCGCACACACCCTGGTTCTCTCCGAGCGACAGATTAAAATCTGGTTTCAAAACCGCAGAATGAAATGGAAAAAGGATCACAGGCTGCCGAACACCAAAGTGAGATCCTCGTCGTCCTCCTCCGGGTCCAACACAAGCTCAGCAGCCGGCGCTGTTGCCGCTGCCTCGGCCACTAACACTGGGGCCCCCGACGAACTCACCGGAGCACAGCATGGCGAGGATATTACCAGGTTATAAAACAAAAAAGAAAAAAAAAGGAAGGAGAAAGAAAAGAAAAGAAAAACCACGAACCAAGATCGGGGATAGAAAAAGAACTGGTTATTTATAGAACAATTATATATTTTGTTTTCGTAGCTATCTTGTGCGGTTTCCTTTAAGTCCAAAGTTATATAAAATGCATGTTATATAGCATGGATTACTGCGAATACCGATGGATTATTTTTACGTGACACAGGGTTTAATTTATTTGAAGTTCAATTAAAATGATGTTTTTTATTAAAAAAAATGTTTTGAATGAAGGAAGAAAAAGTAGAAAAAAATATACATTTTATCAACAAAAAAAAAGAAAAAAAATGTTATTGTGGGCCATTCTTTTGCTCTGCTGCCCAATAAGGTGAAATGCACAATCTATTTATTTCAAACAACACTGGAAGGAAATCACTATAATAATAGTTATTTTTGGTATAAAAAAAAAGGCTGGAACACACCATTGGTCTTGAACTTGTATGTTTAGGATAATAACAATGTGTGAATTACCTCGTGTATTTCAAAAAGCAGGATTTTTGATTTTACAATTTAGTTTTGTGGTGTTGATGTTGTGTTTAGACCGTTAAAAAGCAGATTATTGTGAAATGCAATAAACGGAGTTTAGTGTACTTGTGCTAATCATATTGGTCAATAAAACAGTGAGTGTCTACTAGTTTTATATACGTTTGGTCGAAGTTCATTTTTTTTGTAGGTGTAAGATGAGGACTGTAGATAGAGGGTGTGTACAGATAGACTACATTTCATGAGGGGAACGAAAATCACTGTGTTTTCAGACTGTTTATCAATCCTGCAGCTCCTGTTTTTTTTGGGGCGTCTTTAAATTAGCAATGTGTACAGACACCGTGTGAGTGTGTGTGAGCGTGTGTGTGTGTGTGTGTGTTGTAGCCTCTCTCATGATGGACTGAAGTTATTTCTAAAATATGAAAATGAAATAGTTTGCGCTGTGCATTACGTGCAACCTCATCAGTCTGAAGGGCATTCAATTAACGCTGCAGACAAGCCACTGAGGCCCTCCAGTCCACACTGCACTGCCTCTCTCCAGTGCCACAAACGAAGCTCTCTGCTTCCCTCCGTCCTGACTTGAACACAACAACAACAAAAAATAATGCATGCAATTCATTTCGAGTACAATGTTTGTAGAGATGATAGATTGTTGTGGAGATATTTTTTTTTGTAACATAAGTAGCTGCCCTGCTTTTTTCTATGGAGAGTCCACTGCGACATGCGACCAAGTTTTTTCCAAATGTAAATTAAATTTAAAAAAAATAAAAAATCCAAAAATAAAGTCATGACCTGCAGATAGATTGACTGTAATGCGTCTTCGTTAAATATCACGGTTGAGCATGGTGATGGAGTAAAACTAAGCATCTGACCTTTTGTTCCTGTGCCCTCGCCAGAAGGAGGAGGAATGCTGATGTTTTCTTGTGTGTTCTCTCTTTTGACTTTTGCTTGTGTAAACACTTTAGCACATTTGCCTTCTGTGTCCCCGGTGGGCAGTTCGCCTGCATATAGTTGTGCAGCAGCAGGAAGAGAGAGAGAAAAATACCCCCCAAAAAAACAACAACCTACAATTTCAAAAAACGGCGCTATGGTGCGTCTGTGTGCAACGTCATCGTGCGCCTTTCTTCTGGCAGGAGGACCAACAACACACTGCAGGACTGTTTACGACCTGCTGGACTCGTACAATACTGACAAAATATCACTCAAACTGCACCTTTAACTGATTTTTTTTTTTTTAAATCAAAGATGCTGCTTTTTTTAATCTCTTTTTTTCTCATTCTATTTTTTTTTTACGTTTTTGGACAGATGGATTCCAACATAACTTAAACCCAAAGACGCGCAAGAATTTGATAGATTATTGAAATTGTGACATGAATAGCTCTTATAAAATGCCTCGCATAGTGGGAGGCTAAAGCGACACAAAAGGAAGAGGTATTCTTCATCATCAATCTTTCACTGCAGAGCTTTGTGCGCTGCTCTGGAAACAAACAAAAAAAAAGCCCCCAGCTCTGACAACAGTCACTTTTGATCTTATCAAATATTATGTACCAGCCCGTGTCTCCTTCACCAGTGTCCAAAAGGCTAAACTGGACTTTAAAATGGACCGTTTTGACTGGACCAGAGTGGTTAAAATCTGCTTCTTTATTTTTGGAGGGAGGGGGAGGAGGAGGACGTGGCTTTTTTGGAAAGAATAGTGGTGAGACGGCGCTGAAAAATGAATCCAGAAGCCTTTATGTTGCTGGACAGATTAGAGAAATTAATGTCCTCGCCACAGTCGCAGCATCCCTCCAGCCCCTTTCTCGGCCCTGTCGCCTCCATGTCGCGAGGCTGAAAAGGTACTTTATTGAAGTTTGGGGGGCGAAATGGGAGAAGGCCGAGTTCACCTCGAGGACACATTTTCTGTCCCATTAGGCTCATTTCAGTCTGGATGGCCGACCTCTCCAACCCTGTGACCTGGCTCACTCTCTATACGTGTACCTTCTGTGTGCGCCCTCGCTGGTCCCCCCTTGGCCTCGGCTTTCTTTGTGGATTTTTCCTGCGTTGTGCCTTTTAGAGAGGCCTGCAGCGGGGCATCACTGAGCGCGTTGCTGCCTTTGTTAATCAGGGTGACCCGGACAGTGTTGAACTCTTCGGACTGTCCTCTCCTCTGCACCCCTGCAGATCCGCAGGAGCTTCCAAACATGCGTAATGTCTAAGTGGAGCATCTTTAGATCTGAAAGACACCCTGCTGGCAAAGATGTGGAGTTAATGCAGTGATAAATATCTCACTTCTGTTCTTCAGTATTGTTTATTTTATACATTCACATCAAATGATTAAAATTAGAAACGATATATTTTTAAAATGTTTGTTTTTTTATTCTCAGGGATCAGTGGCATTTCCCTTAAGTCTCCCACCCCCCCAAAAAGGACCAGTAAAAATAGTTTGACTCGGTCACATGACTTCTGTGTGACTTAAGAGAATAATTGGTCTCAGGTCAGCACTTCCAGTCAAAAGTAAGCTGCCAATTATAGATGTTTCTGACAGTACTGGGACAGTTGGTCATTGTGATTAGTTTATGGACAAGGACCTTCAAGTTTCTCCCCAAATAAACCTTCCAAACTTTCCACGGAGACACCACACTTCCCCAAAACTCCTATTTTTAGCCACATGCAAATTTCTCCTCAGTTCAGTGTAGAGTAAAACCTGCAGAACCTCGTGCGTAAAAATCAGTTTTCATCCAAGATGCTCCAAAAAAAAAATCAGAAATATATCAAACCTTGACATAGTCTAGATGTGGTGAACAAACGCCAGTATTTATTCTGTATTTCTTTTTAAAAATAAAATCTTTCCTGGTGTTCTTGTTGCTAGCAGCCTCCAGTGCACTAGAGCACTCCACTGGGCAACACGTTTGGTGTTTCCTGTGTGGCCACGACCAAATATTCAGCGCTGATGGAAAAATATTCGACAGCATGTCTTCCAAGATAAACAGTTGACACCGAAAGCCAAACTAATCTCGGTGTGTGTCAGTTGTATGTGATAATTCATCCTCCTTCTCGTGTCTCCGAGGCTGCAGGTGAAGCTCAAATTACACTCTGCACAATGGCGGGATGTCTCTTTTTGTTTGAGCTCTTGTAGCAGAAGATTTGTGTTAAGTAGAGGCGCGTAATTTGACTTATCTTTGCCAAGGTGTGTTTAACTAATACACCTGTATGGAGCCTTTTTGCTGGATTTATTGTGGGAATAAACAAAAACGTGGTGATTTACTGGTATTATTATTTAAAAAGAAAAAAAAAAAGCTCAGGTGGTTTGTCAGCCATAAATCAGCATCAGTCTTGTAATTTTTGTCACTGAGGTTGTAGTTTACACAAGGAAACCACTTCTAGATATGTATCATTATTACTCTGAATATATTTTTCTGGCTTCTTATGATCTCAGCAAGCATCATTTAATCCACAATCTTTACATTTATATCAGAAGCTTCACCTTTTATCTTTCTTTTACAGATTTCTGCACCATTTTTTCTACAGTTTGAAATAAAGTAATTTTCCAGCTTATTTAGATTGAGGATGGCTTCTCTTACATGTGAGACACTACCAGAAGGTGTGGCTGTTTGTGACCTCAGCACCTTATAGGAACATCGTGCATTTGTACGTGTTTGAAGTTCAGTGTTTAAATTCCTGTGCACTTACTCAGCTCTAACTGGTTTCTTCTCTGACTCGAGACTGTTGAATCACATATGATTTTCAGCTCACATTGCACCGCTGCAGGCTCCCTGTGATTTATGAGCACCTCAGGCGAGGAGGCTCTCTCTCTCTCCCTCACTCTCTCTCTGCTTCCCTTCTCTCTTGAAAGATATAAAAACTTTACACAAACAGCAGCCGGAATGTTTGAACAAGAGCAAATACGAAACCAAAATGATCAGCTGCTCTGACGGTGCTTTATTACCTCACCTTTTTTTTTATTGTTTGCAAATGTTTTTTTTTCTCCCCCTTCTCTCTCGTCTCAGGTGAGAGTCTTCTTGCACCACTTTGGGGGAGGTTTGCAAGTAAAACCCAGTGTATTGTTATGGTGTAGTGTGTTTAAACGGCAGCCATGGCAGCTGCATAAAGGCAGAGAGTTGAAACAGGGGTCACGCTGCTATTTTCCAGGGACAGAGAGCCTGTCTCACATTGACCAGCAGTGGGTGTGTCATAAATCCGTAAATCTCTCTCCCATCCGTTCACTCGAGGGAGCAAATGCACCACTCTTTGTGCGTGTGTGTGTGAGTGTGTGTGTGTGTGATAGATGAATTTACATAAAACTAGATTTTAAAAATCCATCAGAAATGCTCAAATGATTTACTGTCAGCTGCTGGCAAACATTTCAAGCAGAGGAACGACAAAGCAGCTTGGATCAACACTCTGATATCTCCCACTGTAGACTCCACATCACGCAGGAAATGATGGCCTGGGTAAACCTACGAGTGTACTTTATGTCATCATAACGCCTCGCTGAGAAATATTTAATTAGCCTATTTGCTGCATCGTTGAGGACCTTAGAAATGACAGTCATTTTCCCCCTCCCGTTCAAGGTGTCACCAGGGGCCCAGACAGTCGCTAGATTGAGTTATGATTATGTTATTCACTTTTCATCAGCAAAAGTGATCTGAATATGCGATCCTGAGACTATAGATCCACAATTATGTAGCTATAGGTTAAGTGAAATGCGCTTTTTATTTGATTTGTTCGCCGCCAAAATGATTCTCCGGCGCATTTGCGCGGCCACCAGTTGCGTTTTTTGTGCTGCAGTGATGAGCACTTTGAGTTTCTGCTGCTGCAGTTACATTCATACCTGTCGTTAGATGTTGTTATATAAGGTGCAACAGATGAGTGGATGGTAGAAACTGCTCTCCAGACAAAGTGGCAGCAGCACTTTTAAAACTGCTCTGCGTTTTTAGTCAAACAATACTTGGGAAAAAAGGCGGATTTCAGTATTTTTCAGTGCTGCAAAACAGGCTTGTGTACACTTATGATTACATGAGAAGAAAGATAAATTTTGTTGTTTACAGGCAGCGCTGGTAGGATGCAGGATTCCACAATAAAAATCTCACAGTTGCTAAAAGCTCCATTTTTGCACGTTTCTCTTGCAAATAAAGGTGATTTCCAGACATTCTAAATGTGCTACAAGATGCTTCAATCAG